TTATATTATAATAGTAGTAACTTTTACCAGATTGAAAGGGACAAGTTGATACAGTATAAGTTGATACAGTATAGGAGTAAGTTTAATTAGATTGAAAGGGACAGGTTGATTGATACATCATAATAATTACATTCTAACATGGGCATATTTAATCACATTAAAGGTATAAGCTCACACAGTATGTTAATTTCTTCTAAATGGAGTTAGTCTAACCACTGTCTGTCTTATAGCATGAGCCACCTTCAGTCTAACTATATTAATATGCACAGACTGACCCAATACTTAAACTGTCTTATAATATGAGCTACCCGCAGCCTAACTAGTTTAAAATGCATAGGCTGATCTAATACATAAACTGTCTATCCTGAATGAAAGATATACGTTGACCCATTATAGAAGATGCGGGTTATCATAACATACAAACTATCTTCTAACTTGAGTCAACCTCTGTCTAACAAGTATAAATGGTGCAGGTCGACACAACGAATAAACAAGCGTCAACCTCACTGCAGTCAGCTTAAGTTTAATCAGATTAATAGACACAGGCTGATCCAGTTTATCAACGTTATTCTAATAGGAGTCAACCTCAGCCAAACCAGATCACACGTCATAGACTGTTCCAATAAATAACTGTCTTCTAGTAGAAGTCGACATCAGTCCTTCCACACTATAAGATATAGGTTGACGCAATATATAAGCTGCCTTCGAACAAGGACCATCCACCGTCTAATTAGGTTGACCTAATATATCAAGTTCCGTCTAATATAAGCTAGTTTAATAAAATTAAATGTTAAAGGCTGACCCAATATATGAACTTTCTTCTTACAAGAGTCAATTGCAGTCTAACCAGAATAAAATATATCGATGATCCAATATATAAACTATCGCCTAAAAGTAGTCAACTTCAGTCTTACCAGATTAGACGTTATAGCTTAATACATCATATAAACCGTCTTGTAACTGAAGTCAGCCTTACTCTAATCAGATTAGAAAATATAGTCTGATCACTAGATAATCGTCTTTCGTAGGATTCAACTTCAGTCCATCCAGATTAAAAGTTATAGCCTGGCCCTATACATAAAATGTCTTTCAACAGGAATAAACTTTGTTCTAACTAAATTAAATGGTAGAGATTGATCCAGTATATACACTGTTGTCTAACAGGAGTCAGTCCAAGTGTAACCAGATTAAACGATATAGTCTGGTCTACAATAAAAACCTTCTTCTAATAGAAGTCAACTTCAGTCTAATCAGATTAAGAGATATAGGCTACCACCACATATTAACTATTTTATAACAGAAGCCAACAGGAGATTAAAGGACATATCCTAATTTAGCATGAACTTTCTTTTAATAAAAGACAACATCAGCCTAACCAGATTAAAAGGTATAACTTAACCTAGGGAATAAGTTGCCTTCTAATAGGAGTCAACATCAGCCTAACCAAATTAAAAGGTATAACTTAACCTAGGGAATAAGTTGCCTTCTAATAGGAGTCAACATCAACCCAATCGCATTTTAAGGTATATGTTGACGCAATATATAAACTGTCATCTAACAGAGGCCACTCTCAGTCTAACCAGATTCAAAGCTATAGGTTGACGTATCATATCAACTGTTGTCTAACAGAAGCCAGTCTAACCACATTGAAACGTATAAGTTGACATAACACATCAACTAACTTCCAGTACATGCCGTCTCCAGTCTAACCAGATTCAAAGCTATAAGATGGCACAGTACATCATCTGTCATCTAACAGGAGTCAACTTCAGTCTAATAAGATTAAACGATATAGCTTGATACAGCACATAAGCCGTTTTGTAATTGGAGTCAACCTTAGTCTAACCAGAATAAAATATAAAGCTGGTCCAGTATATAAACACTCTTACAATAGAAGTCACCCATGATTCAACCAGATTAAAAGTTACAGTTGACACTACATTCAAACTATATTCTAACGGGTCCATTCTCAGTCTAATAATATTAAAAGATATAGGCTGACCCTATATATAAACTGTCTCCGAACAGGAGTCACTCTCGGCGTAATCAGATTAAACAATATAGGATGTTCCAGTGTAAAATAATATTGACTGAACTAGTATCTAACATGTATTTTAACAGTAGTAACCCTCAGTCTAATCAGATTAAACTAAATAGATTTATCCAGTATAATCTATCTTCTAACTGGAGTCAACCTTAGTCTAACCAGATTTAAAGATATAGTCTGATCCGTTAGATAAACTGTCTTCTAAAAGGATTCAATCACAGTCTAACTAGATTAAAATATATAGGTTGACAGAACATATAAACTGTGTTCTAACAGGGATCAACCTCTATCTAATAAGGTTAAAAGGTATAGGGTGATCCAGTATATAAACTGTTTTTAATAGGAGTCAGTTTTCTGCCATGTCTGCAGTATTATTTACATGCTTTTTCGCAAACTCCATACGAGGTTTAAGATGATTCTTTTTCAGTAATGGCTTCTTTCTTGCCACTCGCCTATACAGGCCAGCTTTGTGGGGACCGAGATATTGTCGATGTATGAACATTGACTCCCATCTCAGACATGGAACTTTGGAAATCTTTCGAAGTCACTGTTGGTTTCACAGTTTGGAAGGGCAGCCTAATCTGGGTGGTGACTGAGTGGTATAAAACACATCCCACTTCTTAATGATGGACTTCACCGTACTCAAAAGAATAATCAGCCACTTTGAAATTTTCTCGTAACCTTTTTCTGATCTCTGTTTCTCTACCACTTTATCTTTGACTTGTTCGGAAAGCTATTTGATCTTCATGGTTAGTTTGTCGTATCACAAATGTGAACTGTAATTGAACAGATGCATTTATTCTGAAGTCAAGTTAAACCACTTTGATTACACACAGACAGATACAATTACACTAATTTTTTAACCTTCCAAATTAATATTTTGCACCTGCCGTATCAAAGGGGTTGAATACTTATGCAATTGAGAATATTATAATTTTCTTTGAAAACCTAACTTACACAATATCAGTGTTTTTTTTTTGTTTTTTTTTTTTAGCTTTCTCGGTTTGAAGTAGACTGTGCAAATTCTAAATATAAAGTCCCATTTGAAAGTTTCATGATTGCAAGTTCGGAAGGCAATAAAATGTGAAAAGTTTGCAGGGGGTGGATACTTTTGCCCGGCACTGTATATAGTTTATCAACTGTCATCTAACAGGAGTCAACTTCAGTTTAACCAGGCTAAAAGATATAGATTGAAACAACTATAAACTATCTTCTTACAGGATACAATCTAATATATTTCATAAATTATCCTGTAAGAAATATCCGTGTTGTCAGAGTAAAACATAAGTTGGTATAACCTAACCAAAATAAGAAAAAAAAATGAAGATGACACATATGTGAAAGTATTTTCAGAGTAAAACGTTTTAGTGGACATGATAAATAAATATTTTACTGAAGGCAACAGTCTAACTGGAATAATAAATCATCTTCTATGAATTTAGTTAGAGTAAGTAAAATATTTACATAATTTATTAATTGTTAGTATTGTAAGTAAGTATTATATTTACATAATTTATTAATTGTAAGTATTGTAAGTAAGTATTATATTTACATAACTTATTAATTGTAAGTATTGTAAGTAAGTATTATATTCACATAATTTATTAATTGTAAGTATTGTAAGTAAGTATTATATTTACATAATTTATTAATTGTAAGTATTGGAAGTAAGTATTATATTCACATAATTTATTAATTGTAAGTATTATATTTACATAATTTATTAATTGTAAGTATTATATTTACATAATTTATTAATTGTTAGTATTGTAAGTAAGTATTATATTTACATAATTTATTAATTGTTACTATTGTAAGTAAGTATTATATTTACATAACTTATTAATTGTAAGTATTGTAAGTATTATATTTACATAATTTATTTATTGTAAGTATTATATTTACATAATGTATTAATTGTAAGTATTGTAAGTAAGTATTATATTTACATAATGTATTAATTGTAAATATTGTAAGTAAGTATTATATTTACATAGTTTATGAAGTATCCTCTAATGAGTAATATTATGTTTACATAATTTATTAATTGTTTTATGACAAGTGTCAATCTAATCACAGTTCTGTGTCAAAAACCTTATGTACAAATCGCTTTAGTCTGATCAGAGTAAATTACATAAGTCAGTTGTACCACAGAAAAAGACAAAGTCTTTTCTCCAGGCTTGGAAATAAAACAGAATAAGTGGACTCATTACATAAACTAAGCTCTAGTGCATCTGTCCAGTAAGAATAAGGAATATATACTAATATCCAATCAAAATGTTTCAGGTATGGAACGATGAGTTCAGTGATTCTCATTCTTATAATATTTCAAGCAACATTTGTTATTCAGAGAAAAAGTGAAAAAAGAAAGGTACTGAATTTCCAGATATTTCATATTTGCTATTCAAACCTATCATGTTTAAAGAAATATTTTGATTTCCTTATGTTCCAAATTATTATTGTGTTCAATAGTATAGAATATACATAGTTTTTAAAGAGATAATTTTTTGTATGTACCACTTAAAAAAATATCAAAAATATTTTGAAATTATACATGTATACATAGTGGTCTTCTTTAACCAAAAACACAATATTAAAACAACGCTAGAATCCGGGTTTCGATACCCGTGGTGGGCAGAACACAGAAAGCCCATTGTGTAGCTTTGTGCTTAATTACAAACAAACAATTATTTTGTGATACAAAGCCATCATGATATAACGATCTATACTTTTAGAAAAAAAGCCGTCTTCTCTAAATATGTATACATCTTAACAAGTTGGATATCATCTCTGTTTAGGCTGGAAAGACAATATCGAAAATTTTAATGTTTTAGCAAATATCAAAATAATAAACTGTATTGTTACCTTGTGAATGACTGATATTGGTATTTTGGTGGGTATCTAGTCAGTACAAAGGCTTTATTCGACTACTGCAACCGCTTAACGGAATTGATTATTACGTTTACAACACACTGTGTCGCGTCTCGAACCTTGGACCTGATGATCCGCAGGCCGACACGCTGACCACTGGGCTAACTCCCGCCCTAACGCTATTTTTCAATATACTAAAATAAAATAACTAAACAATAGTTTTCTATTATAATTTGTATTCAAATATATATATTTCAATTAATATATAAATATAATTTAATCTTTTCATTTATTGGACAGTTACCATGGTGATCCTGAAAGCAAAAAATTTAAGGGAAAAAAAGAATTCTCTATCTTTCAAAGTTTCCTTGCGGCAGCTGGAACGAGACTTTAAATAGCAGACATGGGATATTGTTATAAAATGGACCTAATAATCATGAGAGAGAGAACATGGATAACACCATCCCATTAATTCATGTCAGACTGTTTAAAAAAGCAAATAATACATAAAGGTCAATAGACTTACTGAATAGTCGCTACCACCACTGGCAGAGTCAGAATCCCGGCTGAACTTTCTCTTTCCCGGCTTCTGAATGCCTGGTGCCCCATGAAGCAATTCTTCCAGGCTCTCGATATATTCGATAGCATTCCGAAGAATTTCCACTTTAGGGAGACGCTGGTTTGGATTGGCGCAAGTTCTTCGTTTCAAAGTTTCGAAAGCTTCGTTTACTTTCTGTAGTCGTCGTCGTTCCCTCATCGTAGCAGCTTTTCTTCGATCAATCGTCACAGTCTTTCGTTTACATGCCTTGCACGCCCAGAGGAGACATCTTCTCGGAGCGTGTCCGTGGAACGGAGGGGCAAGCACGTGGGGTACATGTTCTTCTGGATCCTCGTCGACAGAGTGACCAGCAGAATGAGAGATTTCCTTTAGACCAGGACTAGGAATTTTGGGTGGCGTAGAGCTTTTATCCTGATGTAGAATGGGTTTTAAAGGAAGAGATAAATTATTAGGCTGTGATGAAGAAAACGATCTCCTGGCGTTGTCGGAATCTGTTTTATTCTCAGAAGGACGCGCAAAAACATCACAGCCTCTTGTCATATAAAAACTTTCTTCGTGTTGTCTTAATACCGACTTGTAGCGTGAAGACACCTCATTCGAGGCCGCATGATCACGAAAGTTGCTAGAAGTTTGAATTAGAGACAATCGGGACGTAGAAGTTCTATCAAATCCTTCTTTTTCACGAGCGCTAACTTCACCGTGCCAGACCCTTGCTGTTGGCGTGTATGTGCCGAGATTTTCCGGCGATCCTCGGTAGTAGTTTCCATTGTCCATGGAGCAAAGGCCGTTAGTTGGTTGCTGGTTCGAGTACATCACCATTTGCGGAGATAGTGAGTACTCTGCTGGTGATGTAGAGGACTCATAACGACAGCTTCTCATGATGACGTTCCTCATTGGGTTCGTACTACGTCTTAGTAGCAGGGGTCTCAAGAAGCACGAAACACCTCCTAGAAACATAGAAACATTGTATATTTTAGCCTTTCACCACAGCCTGGTTCTGTGTTGATAGCTTAATTAATAATTCATTATCTTACCTTAGCCATGTTTCATTTCATTACAGATGTATTAGATTAACTCACAGAGACAAATCAATTTATTTTGTGTTTTTTGGTTGTTGTTTTATATTTTGCATTGTAAAAACACATCTTTAGTTTGTAGCTGAGTCATCAACTTAGAACCTGAACAGCGTGTTAAGAATAATATTAAACCAGATTAAGTACGAGAGAAAATACAAATCATTACTATGTTCGAGACTTAATGCATTGAACTTTAAATTCTTATTCCCGCAACGTTTTAAAAGCTGTAGAATATTTCATAAATAATTTGTGTAGGTTTTACCTGTAAGATGATTTCAATATCTATTCATGTTTATGTCGTAAAATAGCATTTCTATATACCTAGTTACGTATTCATAAATAACGTTTAATTAACATTCTGTCGTTATATACGCTAACTCTATCTGTTCACTGCTAAGAACCACCCAAGTAAAACATGTCTAGTGATGGGTTTATGATAAGACTTTATAACCACGATACTTTTACTTTTCTTGGCCTTACATCCCCGAAACTTCCCCCCTTTTAATATCTAATCATTTTTAGGAATTCGTCCTCAAAAAGAAATAATAAATACCTTACTATAATATCACATTGATAATTCATAGTTAATTTATGCAAATACCTTATTAAATACCTTTCTTGGAAAGCCCTTACAAATATCGAAATATTGAGTCACTTTATCGATTCACACTAAACCCCTAGACCTGTCTTATCGAAATATTTAGTCACTTTATTGGTTCACACTAAACACCGAGACCTGTCTTATCGAAATATTTAGTCACTTTATTGGTTCACACTAAACACCGAGACCTGTCTTATCGAAATATTTAGTCACTTTATCGATTCACACTAAACACCCAGACCTGTCTTATCGAAATATTTAGTCACTTTATTGGTTCACAGTAAGTTACATCCAAGCACATAATTTATCGAAATATCTGGTAATTCTATTGATTTACGATAAACACCTTGACTTATAATATCGAAATTTCTAATAACTTTATGGGTTCATGGTAAACACCTATACTTATTTTATTTTAATATCTATTCACTTTATTACATCATGGTACAAACTCTGCACATATCTCAAAGAACTGTCTAATAACTTTATGGCTCCACGGTAAACGCTTAAACGTATCTTACTTTAATATCTATTCACTTTATTGGTTCACGATATACACCTAGATATCTTACCTTAATATCTAGTAACTTTATGGGTTCTCGGTAAAACCTCAGACTAATCTTACCGAAAAGTTTATTATGGGTCCAAGGGAAACATTTACGAATAAGTCAAACATTCATTTTGAAGGCGTTAGGAACTCTTAGAATTCCTTTAGTTTAACAAATTCGTGCTTGAACTATGAAATATTGTAAGTTCTTCACTGTCAGTTATATAATATGTGATTGCTTTGATTTATTATGTATTTGTTTTTCATCATTAAATCTTTAATACGTAATCATCAGAAGTAAATTTAGCCCAATTTAAAATAGGAGAGATTGCCTGGTATTATTGCTAGACTTAGTATAATTTTGTAACATTTCTGAACAATTAAGTACTTATTTTTACTTTGAATTTAGGCTTAATGGATACATAGAAGCTAAGTGTTTTTTTTTTTGAATCAATTATATTCATTAGTTTCTTCCATCTGATAATGTGTTTTCATTTATCGTTTTTATAATAATAATTTATTAGATACTTTGACGTCATTTATATCATTAAGTTATTATCAATTACAATTGTTTTATTTAAGCAGGTGTTTTTGGTAGGCTTTAAAATCACGAAACTACGTTTGAACCGCTGTTTACAAGATACATTAAGGGCTGTTTTGGAAATAAAATGAAATTGTTGCTTTTTTTCAGAAAACTATTAAATATTTTTATAAGAATTATCACACAAAAAAGAGAACGTAACTTAGAAATGGTCCCCCAGTGTGTCAACGTTAAGTTCGCGAACTTACAACGTAAGATCCGGAGTTTGATTCCACGCGGTGGACGGAACCCAGATATTCCATTATGTTGCTTTGCGCTAAACAGCAACAACGACGACTGAGAAATGTAAAAATTAAGCCTTACACGAGATGTTTGATTCGTGATTGACTTTATTCATTAGCTTTAGTTTCACAAGTGTAAGCGGGGATTGTTTCGTTAGCTGACACACGACGATTATTCTGTATAGATGTGGAAAATGTACTACTGTTGTTGAAATATGAACGATAGAATACGAAAAGCGGGAGATTCGCTCTCATCACTACACGTCTAAATGACACCTAAAATGTGTTTTCGTCAGGTTGATTCAAGTCCTCCGAAGAAAATAATTGATATTTCTCTACATTAAAGCTATTATACTGCTAACTATATTAACTACACTCTATGCAAACTTTGATAATATTTTTTACAAAAACGTTTCAACAATAATATTCTTAATAAAAACTCGATAACAATTTATCCTTTTACTTATTTATAAAGTCAAAGGTAATGGAGGCACGTGCCAGTTAGATAAATATCAAGAGTGAATTATTATTTAAACAATTAACATACTCGGTGTATATCTTCTCGTGTCTCCCACCACCACCACCACCAGCGGCTCAACGGTGAGCTCAGGGGCTTATAATGCTAAAATTAGTGGTTCGATCCTTGCAGTGGGCACAAATGGCCCATTGTTCAGCTTTGCGCTTAACAACAGACAAACGTCATCTTTTCAGTTATTTGCCTATGGCCATTTATTGTTGCTCCAGCAAAAAAAAAAAAATACTAATTAGAATAGACAACAAAAGTTTCCCTCATACAAACACGTGGTTTAATTTCTGATATTAATGTCTAAGGTATAAAATAATTAGATTTGTTTGTTTATTATTAAGCACAAAGCTACACAAACACGGGTATCGAAACCCGGTTTCTAGCAGTATAAGTCCGCAGACATACCACTGTTCCACGGGGGGGGGGGCGAAATAATTAGAGAAAATAAATAGACTGTATGCTCAAGAAGTGTTAAACATCAATTCGGTTTTTCGTGCTTATTTACATTATTTTACATCTAAAAGATTAAAAGTTTTAAAGCGAAATTAGTATTTTTCGTATGGGAGTGATATCTGTAATACTTCGGCTATCATTAATTAAACTCAATAAGTTTTTCGTTTCTAATGAATCTAAGTAATCAATAGATATCCTATTAAATATATATTCAATTATTAGATGGTTTCGAACCTGCACCAGTGGCAACAAGATATTCTCTAGTATACCTTCTTCAATAAATATTTTCCTAGGAATACGTATTCTTCAGACACAGCATCGCCTGGCGGGTAGGGCGCTCGACTCGCAATCTGAGGATCACGAGTTCAAATCCCTGTCCCTGAACATGCACGTCCTATATCGTTGTCGACTGGACCAGCCACCCGAGTGTACAAATTCTTGGCTTATAAAAATACCGTCCCACTCCATACTAGCTAGGATTAAAGTCGTAAAAGGAAAGAGATACCATACATGTTTATCTTCATAATTCTTAGACGCTATGCAAAGTTTATAGGTAATTTTAATTGTTTTCCTTACCTTGAAACCAAGAACATCCTTATATTTAGTCTATTGCTCTATTGTACTCTCCGTTGATTATGAGATTTGAAAAAATATATATAAATATACGTCAATGTATTTATGTCAAACTTATCACAGGCATACGGAACATTTTCTCGGTACAAACAAACGTTGTGGGAAGCCTCCCCTCTGGGTCCGTACAAACAAGAGATGTTAATAAACACCACGTCTTAACGTCTCCTCGAGCTGTTATGTTTCCAGAGTGTCTTACAAAACTATCAATATGAACACGAACACTTCGCGAACAAGCAGGAAGTGCCCTGTTCACACTTACCTTACTCTGGGAGTGTTGTAGAAAAGGAGGGCCTCCTGACGATGTGTCGTTCTCTCCACCTCCCTTAAGTGTCGGCAACTCTAATGTCTTGTAGATTGAGAAACTAATAAAAAACAACCTTAAAAAAACTGGAGGGATGGATGCCACATGTAACTGTTACCAATGCTAGGCGCATCCCAAGTTGGAGGGGGGGACAGCGGCATTCCTCCGGTGAGGCTTCTCACCAGGGACAGTAAGTTGAGATGGGATGTCGTGTTCGGGCAGCGAGGTCGGCCTTGTTTCCAAATTCCACCGTCACTGAATCAAAACGGGCATCACCGTTCGGGACCTTAAGACTGTTGTTGTGGAAAAGAAAAGAAAAATTAAGCATCTCTCGTTTAAGAGAAGTGAGCAGGTTCATTAAAATCAACTGTGCACTTTTGATAATGTCTGACCTCAATAGCCTGTGCCCCCCAGTGGCACAGCGGTATGTCTGCGGACTTACAACGCTAGAAACCGGGTTTCGATACCCGTGGTGGGCAGAGCACAGATAGCCCTTGTGTAGCTTTGTGCATAATTAAAAACAAACAAACAACCAAATCAATAGCCTGAACTCGTAGCTTTCCTACCCAAACTAACTGATCGGTCGTAGTTACGTCTCCAAAGTGATGTCTTCTTCAACGTGTAAAATCTGGTTCTGAATTTCCTCTCTTTCTCTCTATCTGTTAGGGGGCACGTTGTTTTTCTTTCCCATTCCATCTTTCTCCTCAAAAAACTAGAATGGCAGCGCATGCGCCGAGAAAAAGAAACAGTGAGGCCAATAACATTTGTAGTGTGGTAAATAAAGGATGGGAGTGAGAGCTCGGCCCACAAAACCTTTATTGCCCCGCCTCCTTCGTTTGACGATCGTCACCTAACAACATTTATACTTTCAGGCTAATACATAGCATCAAAGCTTTATTTATTAATACAGAAATTTCCACCCAGAACGGCAATTTACTGCTTTAGCACTTAACCCACGCATACGCTTCCTACACTCATCTCACGGGCTTCTGGGAACATTCACGTACTACTAGATAACACTATGTTAGCAATGAGATCGTGGGAGTACAAACCACGTTAGAGTTATAAAGTATTATAATCATCACTGTACAGCTTACCACAAAACTAGCTAAGTACATGTATTAATTAAGTGATATGGTAGAACTTCCAAAATATATGGACTGTCTTTTCTTCATCTGTGAAAGAACATGCATAGTATTCTATCACGGCAAGACTGAATAAGACAGTAGATGGCTGTACCAGGTCACGTTTATTTTACTAGTTTAGAAATAACATCATAATATTATTTTCTTTGACACACCAGAGCTATCTTGTATCTACATGGGATCATATGGAATAGGGGATTAAGTAAGAGTGAGTTACCTTCTAACAATGGTAAACTTGTTTCTTGAAAGAAGAAAAAAAAATTTAAATTATAATATTGTATTTTAGTCAGCATTTAAATTGCTATGAAAAAGAGAACTTAAAATATTACAAAAGGAAAACAATTATTAATGGTCATGAAAGATCCTGAAAATAAAATAATAAAAAAGCACGGATGAAATTTGAATGTGTTTTAATTATATTTCCGCTGAAGAAAACGATGATCAGTTTTACCTCTTTAGGATTTTCAAATAAGGCTAGTTAAGTACTAAAATTATTCTAATAATTGATATCTTTAATTATAAAAATAATTTTGCGAAAGTAATGATATAATGGTATTTTTCATTATGAAATGAATAATAAAAATGTAATTTTATTTTATGTTAACTTATTCTATAATGGATATTTTAATATGAGATACAAATGTTTTTTATTATTTTCAAATATATTGCAAATGGATTACAAAACCTTGTTCAACCATTTGGCTTGAATACTAAATACAATTTTCATATATAGTATAAAATTACACAGATGATATTAGAAGTAGTAGTTTATCTTATATAAAAGAATATAATAACCGTTGTTTGTAGATGGAATTGTTCACGAACCTGTAGGATAAGCAAGCTCTTTCTTTTTGTAGCCATTCCTCAGACTTAATATTTCAGAAAAATATTGTAAAGGTTAACTAATATGAAATAAATACCAACCGCTAAGATAATAAAAATATTTAGGGATCTATAAATGAAGAAAAAAATATATAATATAGAAGATAATTATCACGAGTATGGGAAGTAGCCTTTACGTTTAATTATATGAAATTCTGTAAATTTCGTAGCGCTTGCTAAGATTGTAAGTTATCTAATTCTAATAATGAAGGATCGATTAAAACACACATCAAGTATGAGAAAATTGACTGATCTATTGCTGAATACTAGGACATTCCTCGTGGCGCCCCCCACCCCCCAGTGACACAGCGGCATGTCTTCGGACTTACAACGCTAGAAACCGGATTTCGATACCCGTGGTAAGTAGAGCACAGATAGCCTATTGTGTAACTTTATGCTTAATTACAAACAAACAAATCCTCATGTCGACTTCAAGTAAATATAACAATTATTTATTGAATGAAATATAATCCAGAAAAGTGTTTACAAAAAAAACTAAACCACAAGTTTAAAAAGCTGTGATCTCGTTCAACTTATTTAATTAATGCATCTTGTGGTGCAGCGGTAGCTCTTAACGCTACAAATCGGGTTTCGATACTCGCAGTGAACAGTAGCTTTGTACTTTACACTACACAATAACAGTATTTCATTAACAATGTAAAATTTTAACGTACAGAACTATTTCTAAAATATCCGTGCCATATGAAATACAACAACTAAATTTAGTCATTACACTTGAGTTAATTATTTTTTATTATCAACATTGACTTAAGTAAAACTGAACTCTATGTTAATCAATTTAGTACTAGTTTAATATCAAATGAAACCTTAACTACATTTCTGATGCCTTTCCTGGATATTTATATTTATGAATATAAAGAGCAGTTATACTGTTGATATGAATAACTACTGATGTAAAAAACACAACATTTAACACTCTTCCGGTATTTTCAAAATAATTAAATGTTATTATTAATTTTCCTCACAATTAATAAATTAACTGTTACTAAATTTAATGAAATATGCATTTTACGCCTTTTTATATTTAACAGGAACAGAAAATATTCATGTACAGCTAACACCAGCTCTTATAGTGTTGAAAACTGTAGCAATTATAATAAATTAAATTACAAGTTGATTAAAAGCTTTGACATATTTTTGGAATTGCACATTTCTCACGAGAACGTGAAATTCCGAAAAAAGTCGAAGAAACCAACCACATTTGCTATGTAACTGTTGGGTTTATGAACAAATATGCCATAATGTTTTGGATTACTGTAGTACTTGTGTATATTATTTACATATTTCTCTATCAACCGCTGTGATATATATATATATATATGTGTGTGTGTGTGTGTGTATACATATATATATATAAGGCCTTTTCAGAGGTTCAGAGAGGCCCGAGCTATTTATATCTTTTGAGGCCTCTGGCTATAATAAAAAAAATTATGCTACATGAAAACAAAATAAGACAATCATTAGCCCAAAAGAAAAGTGAAACATAATTTGAATATTATTGTTTAACATGTAATTATTAACATTTAATTAATGCTTTTCTATCCTTTTTCTTGCATAAAAACAAGTCGAGAAACTAAGTGTATAAATTTGAGGCCCCTTTGAGTTTGAGGCCTGAGCCAAACAGCCCTCCTGCCCCCAAATTGGCTCTATAAATAATATACAGTTACGCGTTCAGAATTGGTTTCTTTAAAGGTAGGCCTAACTTACGCAGTGTATAATCACAGAAACTTTTGTAACTTATGAGTTTTTACTGTTCTTATGTTTCACACATAAGTCTCTTTTACTAGTTAGGAAATGTCTTGTAGCAGTTATTACTAGCTTACTTGTAGGCTAAAGTTAAACCTAATTTTGACATAAGATCGACTATTCTTATACTTAGTATTAGCGTTAGGCCTATATATATATATATACTTTTAAGTTTATTATTGTTATTACAGTTTACTTACTTTAAGGAACATTTAATAATTCTACGTTATCACTGGACTATCTTTGTAATTAATACGTGCTCTAGGTGAGTTTTCAGATGTTATACATTGATATTTTTTCCAGTTGGATCATATTCATAATTATGTTGTGGATGTGAACTTTGTCATAATCTATAATTATAGACAAAACAGGCTTTTAAAATACCAGTTTGTGTAATACAAATCGAATTGCTTACTTGTTACCCCAACACAGACATTATCTATAATGCACTGTTGTGTATTCTGTTGTATAATTTGATGTGGTACGTGGTATACTGAGGAAATTATATATGTAATTTCATGGTAGAATGTTCTGTAATAATTTTATGTACTATACGTAACATGTTTTCGATGCTAATTAAAATGCTCTTTTTTATCAAAATGCTCTGTACTTTCTAACAAGAGTATTAAAAATTATAAATTTTAAAATGAAGTAGGGATCCTGCTATAAAAAGTAATGAAACAAGAATTAAAACCATAATCACAAATTTATACAATTTAATCCTTACTTTGGCCTATAAATAAGTGTAAAAAGCTGCCAAAATAGGAAGTAAATTTGCTATTAAAAACTGTTTATAACGTTTTGATTTCTTCAAAACTATACAATAATTGCAAACAAGACAGTGTAACCTAATTAAACGTTTCCTAGTTGGACGTAATAGGTGCTTTTCGAAAGATTTTTTTATAATATTTCTAAGGATTGAAAGTTCTATGCCTTTCCAATCTGCTGGCTTAAGACAAAGTATAAGATCCTTAATTTTAAGCCATAAATTTTGTAAATTATCTCTTTCTGCTGTGGTTTCAAAATTCGATTTAATTCCATTCCTCGAGTCATGAAGTTAAAAATATAACTCAACCAATAAAATACGAGCTCGATTATTACATCGTATGGCGAATTTAAACATTTGTATGTCATCTTATGTTCTGTTTTATAAAATTACATGTAAATGTACTCACGAGCGGTAAAGGTATTTGATATTCAATCTGAAAAATCAGAAAAATTCCTTCTTGTGAATCACATAATTAAAAAAATAGAAAGTTTTAAGCATTTATTTTCTCCTCTGATTTACCAACTTGTATGTTATGCAAATCTTATTTCAAACATAAGGTTAAACGTAGTATTCCGTTATAATTGATTAAAAAGTATATGATCCTGATTTTTTGTTTGTGGTTTCAAGAATAACTGCTTTCCCTTAGTTTTAAATATAAATCTAATCTTAATTCATGAATGACTTGTAGGAAACTATGTAATTCGTTTTCTGTGTAGTAAAGCTTGCTGAATTCAAATATTACTGCCAACCAATAAAATAAGTAGAAAAACTCTTAATTAAGAATTTCTATGAACTTACACTGTTTGTCACAGTAAAACGTTTGACCCGTGTATGCAATCTTATTGATCTCTGCGTTATAATGTTTTACGAAGTTTCCATCCTGAAAATCAAGTTTACGTACAATTTATAAAATGGATTATTTAATTCGATTTAGAGTAAGAAAAACGTAATAACAGTGTGTTTTATATGCTACAAACATAATTTAAAATTGTAATTAAACTATAAAGGCATTCAGAAAGTTTCCATAAATTTCGCGTAGTAATGTCTTTTATTTGAATCTTTTCTTTTAAAAAACACTTCGGAAATTACAACGTTAACACCAGGGCTCGATTCTCACGGTGCACAGATTGCAGATAGCCCAATGTTGTAGCATTGCGCTAAAACAAACGCTTGGAAAATTGTACTTCATACTATTGAATGTTTATAGTAATGTATTTCAAGATCTGTT